CAGACGCCCCTTATCTGCACAGGCAGGTTGTTTGGTAAAGGTGAACTATCCCTTTAAGGAGCAATAAAAACATGTCTCAACCGTGGGGTTTTACCTCCAACCTCCCCATCGCAAATGTAAACGTATCCTGTTTTATTTATTTATGTGCTGCACGGCAGCACTTCCAGGTTTCAGGTCTAGGCCTGACCCTGCTTCCTCATGTGATATCTATGTTATGGCTTTCCCAGGAGGTAGTGTGTTACTAAGCTACCACAGGTGCAGCGTATGTGCGCATGCGTGGTAGATTTGTGCGTATGCAAACGCTGCTGGGTGGTATAGAGGCAATCTACCAACAGCTGGTAGTGTTGTGCGCACATGCAGACATCCCCCTGTACATGCACATATGCGCCTCTGGTCACTACCAGGTTCTAGATACCCAGAAGACAAACACTGGAGGGACACATGCACATGATGGCGGTTCTGAATTCATTCAGCGGTGTAGTTCTGTTTTAAAAACTCTGTAGAGTGAGACATACAGATTAATAGATGAAGTCTTCATTTACACAGGCAGTAAGGCCTTGAGCTCTGGAAGGTTTTGCCTCCTTCATGGTCAAGCCATGTTTTGTTATTCGGCACTGCACTACTTTAACTGGCAATTACGCGGTCATTCAACACTGTACGCAAATAAAAAATTTTTATAATTTTTTCACACAAATAGAACTTTCTTTTGGTGGTGTTTAACCTTTTCAATACCTTCCTGCCCAGGCCATTTTTCACGTTTCAGCGCTCTCACACTTTGAATGACAATTGCGCGGTCATACAACATTGTACACAAACTAAAATTTTATCATTTTCTTCACACAACTAGAGCTTTCTTTTGGTGGTATTTAATAATCGCTGGGGTTTTTATTTTTTGCTAAATTAACAAAAAAAGACCAAAAATGTTGAAAAAAAAAAAAAACACGTTTTTCTTTGTTTCTGTTATAAAAGTTTACAAATAAATAATTGTTCTTCATAAATTTAGGCCGAGATGTATTCTGCTACATGTCTTTGGTGAAAATAACCCAAATTAGGATGTATTATTTAGTTTGTAGGAAAGTTAGAGTTCACAAACTATGGTATAGATCTGAATATTGATCAATCCTGAAGTACTGACAGCCAATCTAATTTCTTGAGGTCCAAGAATGTCAGAACAGTACAGATATCCCCAAATGACCCCTTTTTGCAGAGTAGACAGTCCGACGTACTTCATAAGAGGAATGGCGAGTTTTTTGAAGTTGTATTTTTTTTGTCATAATTTTTCGGAAAATTAAAAAATTTAAAAAAATTATTTTCACTATTTTTTTTTTACATACTGTCACCAGTGCAGTACAGCATCATCATATAACTGGCATGGCGGTGAACAGGGACACTGACTGGTGACAGTATGAAAAAAAAAAATATATATATATTTTTTATTTTTTTATTATTTTTAATTTTTTATTACATTTTTTTTAAGATTCTTTTTTCATATTTTACTATGACCAAAGTAGTACAATGTTACCATAGTAACATTGTACTACTTTGGGGAAGTGATCAGTATTTTTTTTTTTTACACAATTTGCTTATAGCAAATAATTACTTTGCTATAAGCAAGCATTTACCTGAATGAAATCGATTCATTCAGGGTTTTTTTTTTTTTTTTTGTGCTTAGCTGTGATTTGGTCACAGCTAATCACATGACATGTGCATGTGATTAGCTGTGACCATTCACAGCTAGGCACTAGTATACAATGGATGGCATGAATGAAGCCATCCATTGTATACAACTGTCATGTGACCTGCTGTGACTGGTCACAGCAGGTCACATGGTACCAGCAACGGGGGCCGGTACTCAGATCGCGCCGCTGCGCGGCTCTGCATTAGCGCAAACTGCGCATGTGCGGGAGCACACCAAATGGCGTGCACCTGGAATGCCGAAGCACTTTTGAAGCTGCCAAACGGCCATTGGCCGGGTGGCTAATGGTTAATCACCATTGTTTTTTTTTTATTTTTTGCAGTATAATTGAAAAAAGACTGAAAATTTTGGAAAAAAAACCCCAATATTTTCTACTTTCTGTCATAAAACATATCAAATAAAATCTAATTTATTCATAAATTTAGGCCAAAATGTATTCTGTTACATGTCTTGGGTACAAAAAACCCCAATAAGTGTACATTGATATGTTTGTGTGAAAGTTATAGCGTCTACAAACTATGGGATATGTATTTGATCCTGAAGTACTGACGGCCTATCACATTTCTTCAGGCCCTAAAATGCCAGGACAGTGAAAATACCCCCAAAATGACAGTCTAAGGCAGTGATGGCGAACCTTTTTGAGCCCGAGTGCCCAAACTGCAACCCAAAACCAACTTATTTCTTTCAAAGTGCCAACACTGCAATGAAACCTGAATATCGAGCTTTTGGTTTAGAAAAAACAACTCGTACAGTAGTGCAAACTAATTAACAGTACAGGGATGACCAGAGACTGCGGCCACAGTACAGGGATGACCAGAGACTGCGGACACAGTACAGGGATGACCAGAGACTGCGGACAGTACAGGGATGACCAGAACTGCGGACAGTACAGGGATGACCAGAGACTGCGGACACAGTACAGGGATGACCAGAGACTGCGGACACATACAGGGATGACCAGAGACTGCGGACACAGTACAGGGATGACCAGAGACTGCGGACACAGTACAGGGATGACCAGAGACTGCGGACACAGTACAGGGATGACCAGAGACTGCGGACACAGTACAGGAGATGACCAGAGACTGCGGACACAGTACAGGAGATGACCAGAGACTGCGGACAGTACAGGGATGACCAGAGACTGCGGACAGTACAGGGATGACCAGAGACTGCGGACACAGTACAGGGATGACCAGAGACTGCGGACACAGTACAGGGATGACCAGAGACTGCAGACACAGTACAGGGATGACCAGAGACTGCGGACAGTACAGGGATGGCCAGAGACTGCAGACACAGTACAGGGATGACCAGAGACTGCAGACACAGTACAGGGATGACCAGAGACTGCAGACACAGTACAGGAGAAGACCAGAGACTGCGGACAGTACAGGGATGACCAGAGACTGCGGACACAGTACAGGGATGACCAGAGACTGCGGACACAGTACAGGGATGACCAGAGACTGCGGATAGTACAGGGATGACCAGAGACTGCGGACAGTACAGGAGATGACCAGAGACTGCGGACAGTACAGGGATGACCAGAGACTGCGGACACAGTACAGGAGATGACCAGAGACTGCGGACACAGTACAGGGATGACCAGAGACTGCGGACACAGTACAGGGATGACCAGAGACTGCGGACAGTACAGGGATGACCAGAGACTGCGGACAGTACAGGAGATGACAGAGACTGCGGACAGTACAGGGATGACCAGAGACTGCGGACACAGTACAGGAGATGACCAGAGACTGCGGACACAGTACAGGGATGACCAGAGACTGCGGACAGTACAGGGATGACCAGAGACTGCGGACAGTACAGGATATGACCAGAGACTGCGGACAGTACAGGGATGACCAGAGACTGCGGACACAGTACAGGAGATGACCAGAGACTGCGGACACAGTACAGGGATGACAGAGACTGCGGACAGTACAGGGATGACCAGAGACTGCGGACAGTACAGGAGATGACCAGAGACTGCGGACACAGTACAGGAGATGACCAGAGACTGCGAACAGTACAGGAGATGACCAGAGACTGCGGACAGTACAGGAGATGACCAGAGACTGCGGACACAGTACAGGGATGACCAGAGACTGCGGACACACAGTACAGGGATGACCAGAGACTGCGGACACAGTACAGGGATGACCAGAGACTGCGGACACAGTACAGGAGATGACCAGAGACTGCGGACACAGTACAGGAGATGACCAGAGACTGCGGACACAGTACAGGGATGACCAGAGACTGCGGACAGTACAGGGATGACCAGAGACTGCGGACAGTACAGGAGATGACCAGAGACTGCGGACAGTACAGGAGATGACCAGAGACTGCGGACAGTACAGGAGATGACCAGAGACTGCGAACAGTACAGGAGATGACCAGAGACTGCGGACAGTACAGGAGATGACCAGAGACTGCGGACACAGTACAGGGATGACCAGAGACTGCGGACACAGTACAGGGATGACCAGAGACTGCGGACACAGTACAGGGATGACCAGAGACTGCGGACAGTACAGGGATGACCAGAGACTGCGGACACAGTACAGGGATGACCAGAGACTGCGGACAGTACAGGGATGACCAGAGACTGCGGACAGTACAGGGATGACCAGAGACTGCGGACAGTACAGGGATGACCAGAGACTGCGGACAGTACAGGAGATGACCAGAGACTGCGGACAGTACAGGAGAGATGACCAGAGACTGCGGACACAGTACAGGGATGACCAGAGACTGCTGCGGACACAGTACAGGGATGACCAGAGACTGCGGACAGTACAGGGGATGACCAGAGACTGCGGACAGTACAGGAGATGACCAGAGACTGCGGACAGTACAGGGATGACCAGAGACTGCGGACACAGTACAGGAGATGACCAGAGACTGCGGACACAGTACAGGGATGACCAGAGACTGCGGACAGTACAGGGATGACCAGAGACTGCGGACAGTACAGGAGATGACCAGAGACTGCGGACAGTACAGGGATGACCAGAGACTGCGGACACAGTACAGGAGATGACCAGAGACTGCGGACACAGTACAGGGATGACCAGAGACTGCGGACAGTACAGGGATGACCAGAGACTGCGGACAGTACAGGAGATGACCAGAGACTGCGGACACAGTACAGGAGATGACCAGAGACTGCGAACAGTACAGGAGATGACCAGAGACTGCGGACAGTACAGGAGATGACCAGAGACTGCGGACACAGTACAGGGATGACCAGAGACTGCGGACACAGTACAGGGATGACCAGAGACTGCGGACACAGTACAGGGATGACCAGAGACTGCGGACACAGTACAGGGATGACCAGACTGCGGACACAGTACAGGAGATGACCACAGACTGCGGACACAGTACAGGAGATGACCAGAGACTGCGGACACAGTACAGGGTTGACCAGAGACTGCGGACAGTACAGGGATGACCAGAGATGCGGACAGTACAGGAGATGACCAGAGACTGCGGACAGTACAGGAGATGACCAGAGACTGCGGACACAGTACAGGGATGACCAGAGACTGCGAACAGTACAGGAGATGACCAGAGACTGCGAACAGTACAGGAGATGACCAGAGACTGCGGACAGTACAGGAGATGACCAGAGTGCGGACACAGTACAGGGATGACCAGAGACTGCGGACACAGTACAGGGATGACCAGAGACTGCGGACACAGTACAGGGATGACCAGAGACTGCGGACAGTACAGGGATGACCAGAGACTGCGGACAGTACAGGGATGACCAGAGACTGCGGACAGTACAGGGATGACCAGAGACTGCGGACAGTACAGGGATGACCAGAGACTGCGGACACAGTACAGGAGATGACCAGAGACTGGGGACACAGTACAGGGATGACCAGAGACTGCGGACAGTACAGGGATGACCAGAGACTGCGGACAGCACAGGGATGACCAGGGACTGCGGACCAGGGATGACCAGAGACTGCGGACAGCACAGGGATGACAGAGACTGACACCAGGGATGACCAGAGACTGCGTACAGCACAGGGATGACCAGAGACTGCGGACAGCACAGGGATGACCAGAGACTGCGGACAGCACAGGGATGACCAGAGACTGCGGACAGCACAGGGATGCAGAGACTGCGGACAGCACAGGGATGACCAGAAGACTGCGGACAGTACAGGGATGACCAGAGACTGCGGACACAGTACAGGGATGACCAGAGACTGCGGACACAGTACAGGGATGACCAGAGACTGCGGATAGTACAGGGATGACCAGAGACTGCGGACAGTACAGGACAGAGACTGCGGACAGTACAGGGATGACCAGAGACTGCGGACACAGTACAGGAGATGACCAGAGACTGCGGACACAGTACAGGGATGACCAGAGACTGCGGACACAGTACAGGGATGACCAGAGACTGCGGACAGTACAGGATGACCAGAGACTGCGGACAGTACAGGAGATGACCAGAGACTGCGGACAGTACAGGGATGACCAGAGACTGCGGACACAGTACAGGAGATGACCAGAGACTGCGGACACAGTACAGGGATGACCAGAGACTGCGGACAGTACAGGGATGACCAGAGACTGCGGACAGTACAGGAGATGACCAGAGACTGCGGACAGTACAGGGATGACCAGAGACTGCGGACACAGTACAGGAGATGACCAGAGACTGCGGACACAGTACAGGGATGACCAGAGACTGCGGACACAGTACAGGGATGACCAGAGACTGCGGACAGTACAGGGATGACCAGAGACTGCGGACAGTACAGGAGATGACCAGAGACTGCGGACACAGTACAGGAGATGACCAGAGACTGCGGACACAGTACAGGAGATGACCAGAGACTGCGGACAGTACAGGAGATGACCAGAGACTGCGGACACAGTACAGGGATGACCAGAGACTGCGGACACAGTACAGGGATGACCAGAGACTGCGGACACAGTACAGGGATGACCAGAGACTGCGGACACAGTACAGGAGATGACCAGAGACTGCGGACACAGTACAGGAGATGACCAGAGACTGCGGACACAGTACAGGGATGACCAGAGACTGCGGACAGTACAGGGATGACCAGAGACTGCGGACAGTACAGGAGATGACCAGAGACTGCGGACAGTACAGGAGATGACCAGAGACTGCGGACACAGTACAGGAGATGACCAGAGACTGCGGACAGTACAGGAGATGACCAGAGACTGCGGACACAGTACAGGGATGACCAGAGACTGCGGACACAGTACAGGGATGACCAGAGACTGCGGACAGTACAGGGATGACCAGAGACTGCGGACAGTACAGGAGATGACCAGAGACTGCGGACAGTACAGGGATGACCAGAGACTGCGGACACAGTACAGGAGATGACCAGAGACTGCGGACACAGTACAGGGATGACCAGAGACTGCAGGACAGTACAGGGATGACCAGAGACTGCGGACAGTACAGGAGATGACCAGAGACTGCGGACAGTACAGGAGATGACCAGAGACTGCGGACAGTACAGGGGATGACCAGAGACTGCGGACAGTACAGGAGATGACCAGAGACTGCGGACACAGTACAGGGATGACCAGAGACTGCGGACACAGTACAGGGATGACCAGAGACTGCGGACAGTACAGGGATGACCAGAGACTGCGGACACAGTACAGGGATGACCAGAGACTGCGGAGTACTGGGATGACCAGACTGCGGACAGTACAGGAGATGACCAGAGACTGCGGACAGTACAGGGATGACCAGAGACTGCGGACACAGTACAGGAGATACCAGAGACTGCGGACACAGTACAGGGATGACCAGAGACTGCGGACAGTACAGGGATGACCAGAGACTGCGGACAGTACAGGATATGACCAGAGACTGCGGACAGTACAGGGATGACCAGAGACTGCGGACACAGTACAGGAGATGACCAGAGACTGCGGACACAGTACAGGGATGACCAGAGACTGCGGACACAGTACAGGGGATGACCAGAGACTGCGGACAGTACAGGGATGAGAGACTGCAGAGATGACCAGAGACTGCGGACACAGTACAGGAGATGACCAGAGACTGCGAACAGTACAGAGAGATGACAGAGACAGGGACATACAGGACCAGAGACTGCGGACACAGTACAGGGATGACCAGAGACTGCGGACACAGTACAGGGATGACCAGAGACTGCGGACACAGTACAGGGATGACCAGAGACTGCGGACACAGTACAGGAGATGACCAGAGACTGCGGACACAGTACAGGAGATGACCAGAGACTGCGGACACAGTACAGGGATGACCAGAGACTGCGGACAGTACAGGGATGACCAGAGATGCGGACAGTACAGGAGATGACCAGAGACTGCGGACAGTACAGGAGATGACCAGAGACTGCGGACACAGTACAGGAGATGACCAGAGACTGCGGACAGTACAGGAGATGACCAGAGACTGCGGACACAGTACAGGGATGACCAGAGACTGCGGACACAGTACAGGGATGACCAGAGACTGCGGACAGTACAGGGATGACCAGAGACTGCGGACAGTACAGGGATGACCAGAGACTGCGGACAGTACAGGGATGACCAGAGACTGCGGACACAGTACAGGAGATGACCAGAGACTGCGGACACAGTACAGGGATGACCAGAGACTGCGGACAGTACAGGGATGACCAGAGACTGCGGACAGTACAGGAGATGACCAGAGACTGCGGACAGTACAGGAGATGACCAGAGACTGCGGACAGTACAGGAGATGACCAGAGACTGCGGACAGTACAGGAGATGACCAGAGACTGCGGACACAGTACAGGGATGACCAGAGACTGCGGACACAGTACAGGGATGACCAGAGACTGCGGACAGTACAGGGATGACCAGAGACTGCGGACAGTACAGGAGATGACCAGAGACTGCGGACAGTACAGGGATGACCAGAGACTGCGGACACAGTACAGGAGATGACCAGAGACTGCGGACACAGTACAGGGATGACCAGAGACTGCGGACAGTACAGGGATGACCAGAGACTGCGGACAGTACAGGAGATGACCAGAGACTGCAGACAGTACAGGGATGACCAGAGACTGCGGACACAGTACAGGAGATGACCAGAGACTGCGGACACAGTACAGGGATGACCAGAGACTGCGGACAGTACAGGGATGACCAGAGACTGCGGACAGTACAGGAGATGACCAGAGACTGCGGACACAGTACAGGAGATGACCAGAGACTGCGAACAGTACAGGAGATGACCAGAGACTGCGGACAGTACAGGAGATGACCAGAGACTGCGGACACAGTACAGGGATGACCAGAGACTGCGGACACAGTACAGGGATGACCAGAGACTGCGGACACAGTACAGGGATGACCAGAGACTGCGGACACAGTACAGGGATGACCAGAGACTGCGGACAACAGGAGATGACCACAGACTGCGGATACAGTACAGGAGATGACCAGAGACTGCGGACACAGTACAGGGTTGACCAGAGACTGCGGACAGTACAGGGATGACCAGAGACTGCGGACAGTACAGGAGATGACCAGAGACTGCGGACAGTACAGGAGATGACCAGAGACTGCGGACACAGTACAGGGGATGACCAGAGACTGCGAACAGTACAGGAGATGACCAGAGACTGCGAACAGTACAGGAGATGACCAGAGACTGCGGACAGTACAGGAGATGACCAGAGACTGCGGACACAGTACAGGGATGACCAGAGACTGCGGACACAGTACAGGGATGACCAGAGACTGCGGACACAGTACAGGGATGACCAGAGACTGCGGACAGTACAGGGATGACCAGAGACTGCGGACAGTACAGGGATGACCAGAGACTGCGGACAGTACAGGGATGACCAGAGACTGCGGACAGTACAGGGATGACCAGAGACTGCGGACACAGTACAGGAGATGACCAGAGACTGGGGACACAGTACAGGGATGACCAGAGACTGCGGACAGTACAGGGATGACCAGAGACTGCGGACAGCACAGGGATGACCAGAGACTGCGGACAGCACAGGGATGACCAGAGACTGCGGACAGCACAGGGATGACCAGAGACTGCGAACAGCACAGGGATGACCAGAGACTGCGGACAGCACAGGGATGACCAGAGAATGCGGACAGCACAGGGATGACCAGAGACTGCGGACAGCACAGGGATGACCAGAGACTGCGGACAGCACAGGGATGACCAGAGACTGCGGACAGCACAGGGATGACCAGAGACTGCGGACAGTACAGAGATGACTGCTGACCTTTGGGGAGGGAGGGGGAGCGGGTACCTGAATTTGACAGGTACCCGCTCTTCCGCAGAGTTTTTTTTTTTATCTTACCTGTTCCTCGATCCAGCCGCGCGCTGTCTTCCCGGCTTCTGTAGTGTGGGCGCTCGTCGGACAGCCGGATGCCCAGTGCGCATGCGCGAGAAGCGCTGCGCTTTGTGATTGGTCCGGCGGCTTCTGGGATCTGTCATGTGTCCCCCAGGTACCGCCTTACCATTCACAAGGAGCACTGCTTCTTGTGCATGCGCACTTGGGACCCGGCTGTCACGCACACTACAGCCGGGAAGACAGGGCGCCGCTGGATTCTCCTGGCGTGCCCACAGATAAGGCTCGGCGTGCCGGCTGTGGCACGCGTGCCACGGGTTCGCCATCACTGGTCTAAGGTATTTAGTAAGAGGCATGAGGTGAGTTTTTTTAAGCTGTCATTTTTTTTTGTCACAATTGTTTTGAAAATGAAGAAATTGAATAAAAATAAAAAAAAATTCAAAATGTTTTTGAAAATGAACAAATTGAACAACATTTTTATTTTTTTCACAATTTTTTTTAACATACTGTCACCAATGCAGTACAGTGTCCTCATATGACTGATGTGACGGTGATCATCAGGGAATGGTGACAGTATTTAAAAAATAAATAAATAATTATTTAATTTCTTAAACATTTTTTTTTAATTTTTAATATTTTTTTACTATTTTGTTTACATACTTTCATCAACGTAGATCAGGGTTACCACAGTAACATTGTACTACTCTGGTATGCTATTAGCCCTGAGGAAGTCACGTGACTCGTGACATAACGCATAAGATGGAAGGGTGGTGACATCATCCCGGTACGGACGGCAGCCACCATCTTGTTACTCCGTATCTCATACACCCTATACTGTTTTGAAAAACAGTGATTGTCTGTTGGGTCTGCAGACTCATTTTTATCTTGATTTTGGAGGAGGAGATTTAAAGCTATACACCCTTAAGGATACCGTGATTACTGATTGCTGTGTATGCCATGGAGAGAAAAATCTTCGTTTGTCTTATCAGTGAGATCCAGTTGGTTGGGGATCATCTCCCTGCATTTGTGCTGTGTGACTCCTTGCGGGTCGCAATCCGAAGGTGAGTGCGCACGCTACGCGGTGAAGGATCGTCCCTCTGTCGTGGTCACTGTTGGTTCACGTTTTTTGAAGATACACACAATATTTGTTTTTGTTGGACTTTTTTCTATTTTGGGACTTTGTGTTTTTTTGGACTGTGGTTCTGGACTTTTTTTTCGTCCATTTATGGGGACGTATTATTTATTTTTATTTTTTGTCATTGGTTGCATTGCCCTTTGTGATGATTTATCCACTTCACATTTATGTTGTTT